CTCAAATCATCAAAGGATAGCGAATAAGTGAACTCCAACGACCCGATAAAAAGAGAGGATGATAATTTCATAACAGCTAATGCAGTAGCATGATAGCAACATCCGGAGTTTGTTAATATCCCACCACAGTCCCGTCCCTGCCACTGTGTCAGGCTATTACTTTGGGATATCCTACCACAGTCCCATCCCTGTCAGGCTATTACCTTGGGATATCCTACCACCACGATGATATCTCTATGCTGTGGAAAATGAATAGACTTTAGGGAACTATTCTTACTGGAAATATTTATGACAGCATGAACACACTGATGCTTCCATGGCTCAATGACCGTTCAGCATACAACCTGCTTGCCGTAATGGCCACATTACGGCAAGCCATTGTGTAAACTGCATCAGTTTACACATTGGCCATTGTGTAAACTGCATCAGTTTACACATTGGCCATTGTGTAAACTGCACCACAAACACCACTCGGTTCTGTGTAAACAAGAGCTCATACACCGCATCATCACTCACCGGAATCAAAGCAATGTTAACATTGCTTTATCACTTGTCAAACTGTTGATAGATAAGATATAAATGGTAATACTTTTGTTGAAGGCGGGTGTGCCTCGGGCGTTTCATGGTCCGTGGGGCCTTTCCTCACTCGTTTTAATAGTCAGTAAAAAGGCCCAACCCCGTGGAGGCTATTTCCATAGTGAACCTTAACAAGTCTAGCGGGACCTAGCTCTATGTAGACTTCTTGTACTGGACCTGATCAAGTTTATATGGGACCCAACCCCATGTAGGCTATTTCTACTGGACTTGATGAAGTCTTAGGAGACAAACGGTGATGTTGATTAAAAGTCCCCACGCGAGGGAACACCGAAGTCACCATTGTGTGTTCCTTTAAAATAAATGTATTTTTACAACCGGAAACTGTCCCCAATTAATAACAATTGATACATGAAGCTTGGAATCTTCACCTCTTGCAGGGTTTGGTAGTGTGTGTGTAGTTAGCTGTATTAACACCCACACTGGTGGTTACAGTCAAGCAGTTAGCTGTCAACTCTCACCTTGGGGGCTAATGTGGCACTCAACCCACCAAACTGGCAGAGTAGTTAACAGATGGAATGCATTAGGCAGTGATGTGGTGGAGGCTGACTCCAGACATAGTTTCAAATGTAGATATCAGAGCCCAGTAGGCTCAGGAATCTGTACACCAGTTGACTGACAGTTGAGAGGCAGGACCAAAGAGCCAGAGCTCAACCCCCGCAAGCATAACTTAGCGAGTACAACAAAAATATAATTAAAGCAATGTTATTATATATGTCCTAGACCAACGACGCCTCGTAAATATTCTTGTTAAACACAATTTACTATAATATTATTTTTTATTATAATGGTAAATAACACATTTTGTGTTTGGTAAAAGACGATGTACAATAGGCCCATTGTTTTGTTTTACAAAAGCCCAGGCCTACTGCTGTGATGTACATGATGTAGTTTACTCACCTTTCTTTTAAACTCTCTCAAGAACTCCATGGTTGACGTGTGGAGGAAGGGAAGAGGCCAGGTAGGCACTTGACACAACTGTTCAGGTATAGGGTTATCCACCACAACCTGCCACAACCCTTCCTTTTGCAAGCGAACAGTAACCACCTACGTCAGACCCCCACCCTCCAGCACTGCTCTCTCCTTCAGCACTAGCTGCATATATATATCACGTTTCAAACTACGGTATTTGCCATATGATGTAAACAAACAAGAGTTGCAGTCAAACTGTGTTTACAATATTGCTCCAGACCGAGTGATTAAGAGCTAGGCGATTACAGTAGTCATGGGGTAATTTAGGAGAAGGATGGAGCAGTGAGGTGTAGTGTGGTGTGGCCAGCACCAACACACACACACACACACTGCCCGCACCTAACTGGGGGAAAGGGACGCTGCACTCTACTCATCAATACCTAACACTGTATTGCCATCATGTGGGCCCCACCGCTGCCAATATTATCCCATAACTTCCCTCCCCTCCCTCATTACCTCTACTGTTATATTCATATTTCTATAGTCTCTTCTCATCTCTTTCACCTTAATAATATAACCCATCCTTCTGTTTGATAGTATTTATTGTGACGATCGTTAATAGTCAGAATTCGTACGTTCTTAGCTTTTTAGATAGTAGTATACTGACTCGTAAGGAATTTTGTTAAAATAAATTTAGCTAAAGCACAAACTTAAATATTCCTAGGCCTAGTATATCTCACACATGTACTATATTAGGCCTAGGAAGGTTTGGATAGGTTAGTTTAGTGTGTCAAAGCAACACAAGTAAAAAATAGTTTTCCGATTTGTCCAACTCAATAGTTCAGATTTCTACGTTCTAATTTCGTTCCCATACCAGTCTCATTTCTTATCCAATAATTCTTCCCCTCCTCCATCCCCTTCAACACCACCCAACCCCCTCAAACCCAACTACATCCCTTTCAAATCCAACCTCATCTCAAACCCCACCCCATCCCATTATCAGATCCCCCCCCCACTGTGAATATTTTTCCACCTTGCAGCCCATTTTTACTAGACCTATCTAGACCTAGACTACCTATTCCCTCCCAACCCCACCCATAAATGTCTTCATTCTAATTTGCCTTCTATTGTCCATCTCCCACCTCTCCCTGCATTCATCTTTCACCCCCACCCTGCTACCTATGTCCATCTTCTCCTCCCCACCCAGCCACCCATGTCCACATATCTTCCCCCACCCATGTCCATCTCCCACCCCCCACCCTGCCACCGATGTCTCCCACCCCCCACCTTGCCACCCATGTCCATCTCCCATGCTGCCTTGCCATGTTAAATTTGCTTAATCAGATACAAAATAAGGCCAATTAGTGACAGTTCACAACCAAGTTCAACTCCCAGCTGGGAACACAGGCTCAAAGTCTCAGAAATATAAATAAATATATCAAAACAGTAGATCAACTTTCATGACTCTGAATAAGCCATAGTTGATTTCTGTTGCAAAATGAGTTCAGCAATTGAAAACAAATTTTTATAATTTTTTTTTTTTTTTTTTTTTTTTGGGGGGGGGGGGGGGGGGGAATCTGATATGGATTGAAACAGAAGTTCACCTACAAAAATGACACCACAATCAAGCCTAAAAATGCAGCACTGAGATACAGTTTTAGCCAAAAAATGTGGGATGGTAAAGTACTGTATTGGCACAATCTAGGGGATAAGCCACATTAAAGTTGATGGTTAGCCAGATACAGCACTGTAGTTATCTCCTCACTTTAAAAGAAGTTTCACCAGAGTAAACGTATCAATTATTTCCATTATACCCACCTTCTTGCATAATATAGTACCTTAATAATGTTAAATCTAATGTTAGCAGTTCCCGTGGCATAGTGGTAAAGCACTCGCCCGGTGCTTCGCGAGCGCTTTGGCCTGGGTTCGTATGGTGGCTGGGCAGGATTGACCGGGTGCCAATCCTTAACCGTAGCCTCTGTTCACCCAGCAGTGAATGGGTACCTGCTTGTTAAATAATTTGGCGGGTCGTATTCCAGGGAAAGAATTAGGATTAAGGACCTGCCGAAATGCTATGAGTGGTAGTGGCTTTACAAGAATGTAAAAATTCTTGTACTGTATATATAAATAAATACAAAAAAACTGTGTACCAATATTCATCTACATTATAATAGTGTTAGATAACCTACTCATATATATGCAATAATGTATATGAATATTAAAACATTTAACAAATATCTTACATAGGGTTTAAAACAATACTGTTGTCCATGTAAATTATTAGGGCCAAATAATAATTATTATGAACACATCTTTAATAATCAGCATTAAAAAAGTTTAAAAGGCTTACAATTTTGCCTGGCTTGACATGTTCAATACTTTTAAACCATTTTTTGTACTAGATATCGTAAATATTTACACATGTAAATCTAATACTCTGTATATATAATTAAGGATTTTTTTTTTAGTCTTGTGACATGCTTTGGGCAAAATGAGTTGGTTTGCCAGAAGTAGCAGACAACCAGTGTAAGCTAATAACTGGCAACTTTACACTAACACAACACAGTAAATTTATAATAAATCTGAGGTTTCTGGTAATAGAGTACATCCTTGTATAAAACTGAGTGCTGTATTCATTTTTCACTACTATGCTTATTTTTTGACAACTGCCAATGCTTTATTAATGAAAGCACAAGTTTCATATTTTCTGAAGCAAACAGCAACCCAATCAAGTGATTTTAACATCAACATTTATGAGAACAACTACAGTAATTGGAAACAAAAACCACTAATGAATGTGACAAACGTGAACTTATAATAATTTGCGAAAGATAAAATAATGCTGATGTAGAATTAGGTTATCTAATCAGTATTTACCTTACATACAATTATACCTCCTTGTATAAACCATAGATATAAAAAAATTAATGTGTTTTAAGAAACCAGAAATTAAACTGAAGATGTTTATGATGAGCCATTTAACTACAGTACTACCACACACCCATAACTTGTTACATGATTGTAAGCAAAATGCTACATCCTTGTGAGTGAATTATAAACAATAAAAAAGCATAACATGTTACTTATTGGAATTTGCCCCAAATTGAAATGAAATACAGTAGGCCTGGCTACTGTAGTACAGTACATTAATTTTTGCCCAGACCACCCTATTATATGTTTTCATGTCACTCATACAGGTGAGCATTGTGTCTCAACACACACATTGTATGATACGTCAAAGATGCCATACCACACAACGTTCATGGTATGTCACAGATCCCTCAATACTTACCAGCATGGAAAGTCACAGCTGTCTTAACACTCAAGTTATGATTCATCACAGATGCCTTAACACTCACATTTATGGTACATCACAGGACGTCTCAACACACATTTATGGCATGAAACACATGCCTGAACATTCACGATTATGGTTCATCACAGATGCCTCAATGCTCATGTTTATGGTATATCATAAATGCCTCAATACTCACATTTAAGTTGCACTGCAGTCGACACACAACCGAAAGGCCAAGAGATCGATATCCAGGCAGAGTGAGACTTTTTGCAAGTTTCCTCACACCTGATGCTTCTATTACCTAGCAGTAGATGAGTACCTGGGATCAACTGTTGTGCATTACCTCCTGTGCAAGGTCAGATTACTGACCCAGGGAGGGTACCCCCTTCATATGCCTAATGAGCATCCTATCCTCAGAAACGGGATATGATTAAATCACAGATACCCCAATACAGTCTGGACAAAAATGCTCCAAACTGTTAAAAAAAGTTTGAGCACATCCTGCGTTACGAATCACTTCCTTTCTGTCCTACTGTCTCAATGTGACGCAAGAGAACCACAAACTTGGTCTTTATTTCGCACAAATCGCCCATAAGATCACAATTATTGCCACACGAGCGCTTCTATGGCTCAACGAGAGAAATCCGCCTGGGTTTGCAACATAACATTACCACACAATTTTTCCCAGTGCAACATTGCGTCAACACTAAACACATGTGCACAGATAGATACCAAACACTTGGAGTACTTCCACACGCTTAGACGCTCCAACTACGTATTCACATACCTAAAAATACTCTTATAAGTTGTTGAACCATCTCAAGAAGAAATTGATAGATCAAAACTTGCAACTGAGCATTGCGTGACTGCACGTCCCACAGATCTCTGTTGTTCTACTCGAGTCGAGTGTTGCCTTCAGAGTGTCGTACACAATGCGAGATACTGACGTACTTTGTCGTATGTCGGCCACCAATTGTATGGTCCACCTTTAATTTTAATAATAGTAATAAATAATAATAATTGTATTCATAAAATATACATAGGAACATGTTACAGTGATAATTAGTACATACAACAATTTTACATGTGAAGTTATTATATAATTCAGGTATAAATAAATAAATAAATTTGTTTATTCAGGTAAAAGTACATACATACAAAATGAGTTATAAACAGAATGTTGGATTTCTAGACAGAGCTCGTATATACTATGTCTAAAACCATTAATACGCACAGCGTTTCGGGCAAATTGTTTCCCATAGTCAGGCTCAGGAAAGCTGCTTGGGTAATCTAGGTCACTCTAGCCATGCTACTGACGACAAACTCCTGGGTTCCTGTTTTTATGTTATGAGTGAACAGTGGCGTCAGGTGAAAGGTAACGTACCTGAACCGTCCTCCTTTTCTTGCAATTTAACTTGTGGAGTTACACTCGAGGTGATTTAAGTTCAAGCAAGGCAGTTTGTAGCTGTCTTTCATTGGCTGGTTGAACTTTTATCTAATAGTTTGTAAAGTCTAATTTTTTTCAATCCATGTAAAGGTCCTGCTTGGCGACTTTCTAGTCTACCCTCGAGAAGGCTATCAAGAAATGATAGAGGAATTGCAAAAAATTCCTGGAGGAAGTTAAGGGGAGATCAAAGCATGGAAGCATCATGGGAAATTTTCAAAAAAGATCTTTTCACTGAACTTATTCAAAATATATGCCAAGAAGAAGACAGAATAGAAGGAGAACTAGTTAGATGATACAGGCAGCAAGCTTCAATAATTAAACGGATCCCCTGGAGCAGGTACCAATTAACAAAGAACAATATAGATTATGAGAGATACAGAAGGGCATTAAATTAAGTCACCCAGGAAATCAGATCTCGAAAAGAACACTTGCTTAAAATATAAAGAAAGGTCCAAAGTCTTTCTATGCCTGTTTAAGAAGCAAGATCAAAGCAGAAGATTCTGTAGGCCCCCTTAAAAGACGAGACTAACCACGTAATAATAGAAGAGAAAACGGAAGCCAACATCCTGAATGAATACTTTACATCCGTGTTCATATCAGAGAGATTAGACAATATCCCAGTACCCACAAATGTTTAAAGCAGGTGAAGAAAAACGAATTAAGGGATAGCCTCATAACTTGCGATATAACAGCATTGACAAACTAACAAATTCAATAGCCTCTTGTGTGGACGGAATTTGATCCAAAGTCGTAAACGGATAGTTTCCCTAGAATGGAAATATGCAAATGTCACCATTATTTTCAAAAAAGGCAGAAAGAAAGCAGAAGACTACCGGTGAGAGCAACCCTGAGGGAGGGAAACATTCACCATCTCACAGTGAACAATCTAGAGGTGATAAGCGCAAGTTTGTTATGTTAAAAACACAAATTCTGCCTTACAAACGTGCTCACATTTTTGGAAATGATAGCCAGCTATTGAGACTATATAAGGTCTTCCAGCAAATTTAGTATACATGGACCAAGGACCTCATGAAAGACTGGTAAAGAAATTACAAACACATGGGATAATTGTTAGAATACTAGATTGGAAAAAACTAATAAAGCAAAGGATAATGCTTAAGAGAAGTTAATCTGCCTGGAGAAATGTGGTGAGTGGGGCCCTTTCCTATCACCTAATGCATTTGTTCACCCAGCAGGAAATAGGTATCCAGGAGTTTGTTCGTAGTGGGGTCGCATCCTGGGGAGGGGGACTCGATGTTGTTGTTATAGATTCAGCTACTCGAAACAAGTTCCAAGTAGCACGGGCTATGGTGAGCCCGTAGCTTACCTGGCACAGGAGCGGGGCAAGTAGCACGGGCTATGGTGAGCCCGTAACTTACCTGGCACAGGAGCGGGGCAAGTAGCACGGGCTATGGTGAGCCCGTAACTTACCTGGCACAGGAGCGGGGCAAGTAGGACAGGCTATGGTGAGCCCGTAACTTACCTGGCACAGGAGCGGGGCAAGTAGCACGGGCTATGGTGAGCCCGTAGTGGACTTACCTGGCACAGGAGCGGGGCAAGTAGCACGGGCTATGGTGAGCCCGTAGTGGACTTACCTGGCACAGGAGCGGGGGGACTCGATATAACCTAACGTACATATATAGACAGGCTGCTTGCCCCCGACAAAGTGAATCTTATCATTTAATCTTTGTAATTATTTAATTACAATTAAATTATTATAATTATAATTTTCCTAATATCTGCTCCTAGAACATAATCCCGCATGCGTACGTTTATTATCGTACACTCTTTCGTTGGCCGTGATCGCTTATAATACTATACTCATGGTCATACCTGTATTTTTCATGCAAGGTCAACTAAACTATTTTTAGTAGCCATTGTTGGTTTTTTTTCGCTGTAAAGGTTATATAAATGTTGAGGGCAAATAATGAGGCATTTTCGCGCTTTTGCCAACTGGAAAATTATTCACATTTGTTTGGCTGTCAAATGTTTAGCAGGCCGTGGGCTTACTTATATCAATATCCTATAAACTGAAGCATTCAGATGTACGTTACATAGCTTATGTAAGATATATGCTGAGTGGTAAACAAATTATATATAGATTTACTGTAGACTTTCCATGTTCTTAAGTGAGTATCTGGGTCGTAGTGATTATAATTACTAAAGTCGGTTCACAACCGACTGATCTTTTATCCATTCAAGTTCATCCTATTTATCAGACACCAGACGGACCTCTCGCCACCCTGGCCCCAGTGTCCAGCTCCAGCTATGGATTCTTTTCCAATTATCTCGAACTATTATCGAGTGTTACTGTATGTTAGGAAACTCACCCGTCTGGTTATTCAAAAGAGGTTTGACATCACTTAAAGAGTTGTAGAGAAGCTACACGTTTTTCAGGACTCTTTCCTCCATCTTACGAGTGGTTAGAAAGCAGTTCCTGTAGTAGAAATGTGTAAGTGGTACAGGTTCTGTAGCGTGGTCTCCTTTATCAGTGGTAGCGGCTGGTTAAGTCCTGCTTGGGTATAGCTGTTTACTGCTATATATGTGAACAAAGACTTTGGGTGTAATATATGCCCAGTGGACCACAAACGCAGTTGCCCGCAGTACAACTAATCAAGCTACAAGCAACCACAGACACCCAACTGGTATCCAACTGAAACGCTGAACAGTTTGGAGGGTATTGATCCAGACGACGTCTTCAAAAAGTCAGATGTAACACAAACAAGGAGCAACGGCTTCAAGTTCAACAAGCCACAATGTTGGACAGAAAACAAGAGCTGCTTTTTCACCCATTGAGTTATAAACCTATGGAACTGCCCACCCGCTGAATCCGTAAATGCCAAAACGCTCCTGAATTTCGAAATGCTGCTCCATACAATCATCAGAACAAATGGGGGCCCTTAGACAAGCCGCTGACTTCCTGTCCTCGTTGAGGCTACTAGACAGATAGTGGCTCTCAGGTAAGTTAAGGTAAATACTGGGGATACATTAATTTTATTGAAGTTACTCTCAATAATTATATAAAATGTGCTCATTTTCTATGATGTTGCCGTCACAAAAAACAAACATTGACACCCATGATGTAGATATAATTCAAATGTTTATTCAGGTAAAAGTACATGCATAGATGAGTTTAAGACATAATGTTGGATTTATAGATAGAGCAGATAGATAGTAATAATAATTTATGCAAGAGTACGTGCTTATGATACATGAACAGTGGATAATTCATTGGTAAGAAACATACAATACATAAAGCCTCTAATATATAAGAGCGTTTCAGTTGCATTTGGAACATTCAATAAGTTCCACTTCACCACTGGTTGAGCCGTGACAACACCTTCAACACCTGCTCCCAAAAGGGCGTCTAGACACCTGCTCCGCCTGGATACCGCCGAACACTGTGACACGATTTTGATCATTGGAACTTGAGACCGCCATCAAATAAAATAAAATAAATAAATGTTTATTTAGGTAAGGTACGTACGTACAAGAGATTTTACAAAGATTGATGGATTTATAGATAGAGCTAGTACATACAATGCCTAAAGCCACTATTACGCAAAGCGTTTCGGGCATGAAAAACATTAATGACTAAATCTTAATACTAATTGAGTATAAAGAATAAAATGTGTTGAGAACAAATAAAAATAGAGATAAAAAAGGGGGGAACATGGCTGAAAAAGCAGCACAAATACAATTAGGTCGACAAACAGCGTTGTTTAAAAAAAAAACAGACATGGGTTGACAATAGAGGGGTAAGATAGGTTACAGGGAATTTATTAGGTAGTGCTTCGTTTTTATCTTATCAGATATTTCTCTTTAACGGGCGGTACGTCACCGGTTACAAGGATTAAGTCGCTACATCTTTACAGTTTTAGGGTTGAATCTTTAGGCGGGGGAGACGATGTCGGTAGTTTTCGGGTCTTGACAATGCAACGATGCAGTAGGCTCTTGGTTATGTCCTTTGGGAGTTGTGGGCGTCTCTGGCTTTTGGTCCGCCAGAGGCCATTGGAAACACTGCAGAGTTTTTGCCCGTTTGAGTGAGCGTAGCGGCCTACGCTCACATCCATACCTCCCCCATACAGCACCAGATAACATCTCTACCCACTTCACACCACACACCTCTTTACCCTGTGTTTGATTAGCATCCATCCCCATTATTCGCGTATTTCTTCACCTATGTGTGATTACAATGTAAACAAAATACAGTGATTACTATGTGTGTGGTTTCACTACAAACTTTGTTCTTAAACTCTTCCTGGATAGATGTAACAGAACCCATAATCACCACACCAGA